CAGTTACAGGCAGTGGGAGCCAGTGAAGGTGCTGTGAGCAGAGAGCCGGGGGAAGTCAGAAAGGTCCCACAATGCGTGGGGGTTTGCAGGGTGACTGGAGGTGAGGTAGACGGCAAACCTACCCTGCAATGTTCTCAGATCTGGGGTAACACTGTACCAGAAGGTGGGGGGCCTACGCGCAGCCCTGTTTGCATGTTTTGGGGGGAGGGATGAGGGAGTTGAGAGGCCCACATCCTGGACCCTCAGCTTTGACCCTGGCTCCTAGACTCACTCTGCCGGTGGGTGGAGACTGTCCAGGCCTGGGCAGCTCGGGAGGCCCAGCCGCTTCTTCCACAGGAGGTTGGTCAGTGGCCACTGAGCCATGGATGGGCGGGGGCGGGGGCGGATGGGCTCCGCATCAGGTGACATTCCAGCAGGCTCCACTGCAGGCCCACTTCCGGGTACATTTCCAGAGGATCAGCCATGGGCAGCCAGTTGTGTGAATGAGCTTTTCACTCACCCGGCCCCTGCCCCTTGGCTTCCTGCCTCTTAAGGGGCCACCTGGGTCCCTGGGTCCTCTCACAAAGCCAGGCGGCACCTGCTGCTCCAAGCAGGCAGTCCCCTGAGCCCGAGAGAAAGGGACACACGGCCAGGCACTGCACCTGGGCAGTCACCAGTTAATACCAGGGCCGGGGCAAGCAAAGGGCAAATGCAAACTCTGTTTACCACACAGGGTTCCAGGCACCTACGGGTCAGGGAGCCAAGCCCCGCCCTCCGCTCAGCAGGGAACTATTTTCACTCCACTGGGCCCAGAATGCCAGCCCTGGGCGCTCCACCCCTGGGAAGTGGGCCTCCTGCTCCGCGGGGGAGGAAATGGCTCCCGAGAGGTCCTGCCAGCTGGAACGGCACTCCAGGACTCCTGCCACCCAGGCAAAAGGGAAGTCCCTCTAGGGAGCCAACCGCACTCCAGGCAGGCTCCTCCAGGGCGCCCAGCAAGGCCCCGACTCTGCACCCTGCGCGCAGGGCTCTTCTCCAGCAGGCACCGGGGCTTGTCTGCGTCCCAGGAAGGGCTGGTACGGCTGGGCAGGGCAGGTGCAGGCAGGTGCCGCACGATGTGCAAGGCCCCTGGTGTGAGGGGGAGGTCAGCAGTGGGCTGCCCTCCGGGGGCTGTCGCACCTCTTGCTGCCATTGTTTGGAGCATAGAGTAATGGGTCTGCCACGTGCCGGGCTCTGGGCCCGATGCCAGGCACAACAAGACGTGAGGCATGTCCCTGCTCTTGAGCAGGGCACAGTGTAAGTGGGAGCCCGTCATTTAGAAGGCTGCTTAAGACACACAAGGAGGCCCCGGCCGCTGAGGCTCAGCTGGTTGGAGTGTCGTCTTGTGCATCATAGGTTCGGGGGTTTGATTCCGGCTTCGGGTTCGATCCCGGGCCGGGGCATGTACAGGAGATACAGGAGGCAACAGATCGGTGTTTCTTTCTCACATTGATATTTCTCTCTCTCTCCCTCTCCCTTCCTCTCTCTCTAAAATCAATAATAATAATAATAATAAAGGAGATACACTAGGATCAATGATCAATAAACAAATGCATAACAGGCCCTGGGCAACAGGGTTCTTTCTGGGGAAGGTGAAGGCAGCTTCGCAGAGGAGGGCCACTGAGGCTGAGCTTAGAGGCAGGACATATTTTTAAAATTTGGGCCCAAGGAATTTTGGGGGGTGGGAGGGCAAGGATGTTGGCGGTAGAAGGAACAGCACAGGCGAAGGCTATTCTGATATTAGTCAAACAGAATCAGAAGAATGTTGGAGAAGCAGCTTCTAAAACTGACAGGACTAAGGCTCGGAGGGGACGGACTACGAACAGAGAGGCTGACCACGGAGCTTCTGTAAGTGCCTGGCTGTGTGAGGAACATTCTAGACTCAGCTCCATGTGGACTTCACAGCAAGATGTGGAGGTGGTGTCAGACCAGTCTCCCGTAGAGGAAAGTGGGGCTCAGAGAGAGGAAGTGACTTGCCCAGTCCCACAGCTGGCAGAGCTGCTCTTGAACCCTGGGGCCTGGTCAGTAGCTTACTGTTCCAGATCCCAGAAGAAGGTAGTTTCAATGGGCCCGCGGGCATTCCAGCACCACGTTAGGGCAGGAGGGAGCCTGCCACCCCTCTGCAATGCATTCATCCGGGATCCCTCTGAACAGTGCGTGGGCAGTAGCCCTAGGGGACCACTCTTCAAAGTGTTATTTTTAGTGCAAATGGGAGTTTATAAAGCTTATCTATGCCTATGGGTTGTTATACTGGGTGAAGGGCATTTGGGGGCACAGATGACCCTATAGCTGGAGCCTTAGAAAGCAAGAGCACCGCCCACAGATCGCCCCTTTTAGCCACTCCAGGCCCCCCGTGGCCAGCAGCACCCACGGCCTCTGACTCACAGGGGTGGGGTGGGGTGAGGCTCCCCACACCTCCACCTCCAGGCTCCCCACCTCTCCTAGCACAGGGCACCAGGGATCCTGGGGCCCAGGCCATCTGCCCCAGGGCCGTGCTTTGTTTTGAAGGCAGATCCTGTTCCAGAGTGAGGCCCGGAGAAAAGGAAACAAGCAAACAATTCTCAGAAAACTGCCCTACATTCCCCCCGCTGTCACCGCACAGGCACAGGCACAGGCTGGCTGCGGACAGACAGCTCAGCGCTGCGGCCCGGCCTCGGTCCAGATGACTCCCAGGGAGTGGCCAGGCACCCGAGGGGGTGGGAAGAGATTACCCAAAGAAATTACATGCATATATGCATAACCCATGGACACAGACAATAGCGCAGTGCAGGCCTGCAGGGGAGG